AAGTTTATTCCAACGAGTAAACTGTCACCTAGTAGTACTAAGAAATAGTAGTAAGTTTCTTTTGCTTTCCTCAAAGTTATAAAGTTAGAAACTAAATATGTCAAAGTTTCTCTATTTTCTGTAAATTCCATCTAGTACTTCATCGAATTATATAAACTGACTGCTGCGTGTCTCTACTCCCCTCGTTCTACTTCCCCTTCATTACTCATGCTCACCAGATTATATCTCCAAAGTCGCCAATACCTATGAGCAGATCATCAGCCCAATTAATCTCCTGTTGGTAGTTGGAGCAGTCATTAGTATTGCTGCTATTATTATTATTCTGTTCATTCATCTTTTGAGTCTCGTCCATAACTTGATGTTCAGCTGCTTCACAAGTTGTTTCTGGTTGTAGTACTGTTGTGCCGTAAACTTCATCAGGTCCATGCAACATAGCTTCGATTACTTTTGGAGCAACTTGTTCCTCCATAGTTACCCCATGATTTTTCTCAGCTCTTATATTCTTCTTGATTCGGCACACTACAATATCCTCTTTAGGAATATTGTTTTCTTTGAAGAAATCATCCCCGACGGAATATTCTTTCATCAGCCAATCTTTATTGTGCTCTCCTTCTTTACTACTAGTTTGAAACTTGAAACATCTTCTAAACCCAACCACAGTTCCCTTACCATTCTTGATAGGAAAAATACCGGTTTGGCCTTTCCATGTCCCGTTGGCGCAAGTTCGACGAACCCTTGTATGTTCGCTCTTCTGCTTCTTCAACCGAGTAAAAATATAGCGAACCTTCTCTTCGGGATGATCAGAAGCTGCAAATATCTGCCATGGTGGTTGGTCTCCATAGATATCGGCAAGTTGGAAATTAGGGCATTCACTCGGCAAAAGCTCGCCCTTTAGGAACCTTTTCAGAAAGTTGATCAACTCTGCTTCAGTACGGGGAAACCGAACACCCATGATACACCCACGGCGTGCAGCTGGTACCATCGACATGGTATATATGGTCGTCTCTTTTTCTTGCTTATAGAGAAACACAAGACTGAGACAATAGTAATTTCCCCAATTCGCAAAGACAAGAACTTCTGTTGTCTCAAGTAAGAAGACAAGAACTATGGAAGAA